CTAGACATTAATTGAAAGCGTCCTGGCATTTAAAGTATGGAATGAAATATAATTCATGTAAAAAAATGTTGATTTTAACGGACACAAAAATTTAAACTAAAAAGTTAAGAAAACTCTCGAAAAGTTAAGCTTCTTAACCCACTCAAATTGTAGAATAAATCCTAAAGTTTAATTATTGTGAACACGCAAATATTTTATATTTGGCGACACAGTTTTTTTAAAGAAATGTATCTCAAACGAAAATTCGGAAATTGTCATTGCTTAGTTGATAAACAAAATGTTTCAGACGATAAATTTGTCAATAATCACCTTTAGTTCATGTTCTTGTACAATACAATTTCTTGAACCTTCTGGCTGTATTTATTTCTAGTTTTTAGAATGATATGTTTATTTTTGCGCTTGAAATCTGGCTGTAAAGACGCACAATGAAGTCATTCCTTTTTACCGCCATTTTGAGCCTTCGGAAACGTTCGGAACAGCTTCTCATCAAGTTCGCAATACTATTACAGGTAAGGTTGACGCATGCGCAGACGTTTTTCCGCGGTGTTCAATGTAGTAATATTTAAATCATTGTCACTAAGACCCCATCTCTTTAGTTGTTTCATCAGATACAGTCGCTTCGCTGCTTTAGTTGTTATCTTATCCACATGGGCATTCCACTTCACGTCTTGAGTGACCAATAAACCGAGAATCATTGCTTTTTCAACACGCTCTACGTTAATTCTGTTTATCTTTATCGGCGGGAAAACAGGTTCATTACGTTGAAAGTTAATCACAATCTCCTTGAATTTTATCGGGTTGAGTTCAAATTTATTGCCGTAAGTGGACCAATTCACAATACAATTAGTAACATCTTGCAAGGAACTTGTATACTCTTGATTAAATATATATTCAGAAACATTGATATCATGTGCGTATTTAAACATATCACCTTCAAAATCGTCAGATGGAATCGAAAGATCGTTAATCATAAGGAGAAATAGCCATGGGCCCAAATTGGTTCCCTAAGGAACTCCACCATTTATAGGCTTCCAATCAGAAAAACAGTCCGAGTGGAGCTTTACTCTTTGTGATCGTGCACATAGGAAATCTACTATCCAATTAAATACCGATGGTTTAATACCAATTCGCTGCAGTTTCTGCCAAAGAATGTTATGGTCTATTAAATCAAATGCCTTCCGATAACCCGTAAGCAGCGCTCGTAAACAGCTGGGAAATTTGTTGCGCATGCGCCAGATTTCCATTGAAACTTCAAACTTTCCCCTGAAGAAGATTTCCCCTGAAGAAATAACGAGATGTTCGTGGTTGTTGTATATTTTTGAATGCCTGTTTAATCTTTATAATTTTTTGCTTGAAACAAAGACAAAGTAAAATGTACTCTACGTTTCCAGTGAATAGAGTATCTCGTTTGAACAGCAATAGAATATTAAAATCTTGACACAAACAAGAAGACATTTGACACGCTAAATCTCGGCTTTATCTGCAGTCATGCCTGCCAATCGTCGCGAGCTTCACAGCCTTGTCAAACGCAAAACAAGTACAAATTTGGGTTCAAACAGAAAGAAGTTCAATGTTAATACCACAAACATATATTCTATACAAATACGGGTGGTTTAAAATAATTTTTAATTGAATTTTCAAACTGCTTTTATCTATCGACATGATAATCAAACTGTGAAAATGCCGGCTTTTGCTGAGGTTTGCGAATGCAAAATAACTTCCCGTAAACAGAGCATTTCTACACAAACCTCTCGCTTAGTCTTCTGATGCACTTGTACGTTCGGTTCTACTAGTTAAACAGGGAAAATATGCATGAAACACTGGTAAATTATCATTGTCAAAAAACATTTCAGGACTTTCAGTGCTGAGGCAGTACAAATTCTCAAGGGCAAGGTCAAGTTGTCGATTCATTACATTTTACAGTACTTCGAATGTTCTCG